TTTGCCACCAAATGGTGTATGCCCATTTGACGGATCCCAGTAACCGGTTTAAAATATTTTCTCCTTAACACAATAGGCCTGTTTTAAAAAGTTTCTTAATCAGTCATTAATTAAAAATCAGCAATGTTCTCGTATTCTAATTGGAAATAAACACATGACAGAATGTACACGGATCTAAATGTCTGCATAGTTGGTTGCGTATGCATATGTGTATACACCACCGACAACTATCTCGTCTCTGACTCATCATCAACAGTGCGTCCATTGTCAGAAACGGTCAAGGATAAACCTTCGGCTAATTCATACATTAATGAAAATATTCTACTAAAAACAGCGTGAAACCATTGGTTAATAAAAAAAAAAACAGAAATTACCTTTGCGACGACGAAAACTTAACTAGTGATAATTTTTGTAAGCGAAATCCTTTCCGAGGCCTCTCGGTTTGCGAAAATAGGGCGAGAAGTGATGAAAGATAAAAGAAGAGCCGTTACTGGCGGAAATGACTGTTTCGGTTTTCGCCTTGTGTTGTCAAAGAAAACCGCAGGAAATTTGGGTCATGTCGTTAAACTTGTTGTCTTACGTCTTTTGTGAAATTTTAAAACCAGATCTACTACTCAATTCCGTCTGTAGCATTCGACTGCATTGTTCTATCCACTTTAGAATTTCTCTTTTACATTGATTCAGTTGTTAGTTACATTCTAATACTAACTAGAATGAATTCGTCTGCAAACAGTTTCACCCACTTATGGAAAAAATTGAAGGCCTCGTACATATAAGTACCTATATTTATTTAAAACGGAATCACACATTATATAGTTAGTTCAGTCTTTTATTTATATCACGTGTAAATTTATATCACCGTTTAATCTCTCGTTCTTGTTCTCGTTTTTTTTTTTCATTGGGATCCGTCAAATGGGAGGAGCCTAAAAACATGGCGCCGATTAGGGAAAATTTATCGTAGTTCCTATAGTGTACCGTGCAATTTCCAAGTTTTTAAATTACGATAAAATGATAAGTATTGACACAATATGTGATTGGGCTGACACAAAGCCTCGGAAAGGAAATTT